AAAAAAAAACAAGAAGGAAAAAAAAATTGATAGATTAGGCATGATAATGAACACAAAAATAAAAACAACAAAAGCTAATGCAAGGATATTTGACACTGTAATGTATCCTACATTGAAACTAGAGAAACTTCACAGAATAAGAAATACTTTSGAGTCAGGAATGAACACGCAAGTTCTTAAAGTATTACCTACACATCCACTGTTAGAATCATGGCCTTACTATTTTAGATACTCTATAAACACATGTGAAGACAAAACACCCTGCACTGAAATCTTACAATCTAAAAAAGGCCAGCACTCTGTCTTCAGAAAGTTCCAAACCAACCACAGCACCATCATCAAAGAAAGAGGAAAGGCACTTGGGATGGAGTATATAAACAAAGTATTATTTTAAGCTCTTGACTACCTTTGATCCAAGAAACTCCAAGCTATAAAGGTAGATGGGGGATATCTAACAATGGTTATGTTAATGTCAGAACAGTTTAATAAACACCTTTTTCACCAGCATTTTAAGTATAAGCAACTTTTACTGGTTAATTTTAACCTTTCTCCAAAGCAGTTCACCAACTGACCAATTCTACAAACACTTCCAACATTGGTCATTACTGTGTCAGTCAACATTTGTCAAACTAATGCCTGAAAAGCATCTTTGAAGAAGTTAACATGAACCTCTACAGGATGTTTCTATATRAGAACAGAGAATAAATAAAGTCTGTCAGGAGTGGGGAGAGTTAATTACATCCTTCCACTGAAGATGTACTTTTAAAGATTTGTGTTCAGCCTCTCAGGAAATGGGTCCATATGAAACGTTGGAGGTGACAGACCTCTGAAATCTGCTTGAATTCTTAGACACAACACAGTCACAGTGGCAGGTGAATGACTCCTCGAAACCAAGAGCAACATAGCTACTACCATCTGTAAAACAGATGTCTGTGCAGAACATCCTCTGGTCCAAACAACTTTCTTAGTTACAGCCACCGAGGTMGTGGGGCATGTATTTACTTTCTGTTGCAATGGCAAGTGAAACCATGCCTAAAGCAAAAGGCCATCTTGAAGCTACTGTTCTCACCTTTCAGGATTTTCACAGTGATGACCACTTATCTTTTGGGAAAGAATATTTTCAAACATGCACAAAATCAGTATCAAAGTTCAATTACATCAATGCATAGAATGATAGTATCAGCTATACCATAAGAAAGTAGGACTTCAATCTCGCTGTCAGATCTCTTGGATAAATAAGCCTACCACCTTTCTGTGGAGTCTTCCAACACAAATCCAATTCTAAGAATAAAACCAGTTTATAGACCATGACCAGAAAGCACATTCAAAATAATTAATAATAGGCCATTTTCCTCAAATCTTTTTCTCATCAAAAGGTCCATTCACATTCAAAGCAAGATTCACTTGAACTTGAAGTGCCATCTTTCCCATAGAACATCCAGCAGTAATGCTTGAATGCCAAGCATTAAGAAGAATCCTTTCGGTTTTTATAATACATGGAAATTCACCATAAGCATGACAAAAGTCTGAACCAACAGGTTCGGTGGCCATTCCAACTTCATGGAACGGCGTAAGAAAAGTAAAAATGTTTAGCTGTAAAAAATATATTAAGGCAACGGGTAAGCTTCTCACCCCCTCCCAGTCAAACATTTTTACCATTTGCACGTCCCAGCTGAGGAAGCACGAGCACCCTTCCTATTCCCGCTTCTAGCAATCTCGCTCAAAGCCCTATACGCACCAGCATCACAACGCTCTGGCCAACAACTATTCCTTCTYCCCCCTCAACCCCTCAACCTCAGCCCGAAACTTCTGCGGCCGGCACAGCACAAACAAAGCGCAGGCAGCAAGGCGGCCTGGCCGCGCCGGGCTCCGCCGCTCGGCAGCGCCGGCTTGTGCGGGCATCGGCCGCCGCGGGGCACGGGGCCGCCACAAAGCCCTCGGGGCCGGSCGGACTAGCCGGGGAACGAGCCGTTCTCCCGCAGGATGCCCTGCCCCTTCCTCCCCTCGCTGCCCCGGCGGCCCCGGCCACGCACACCCTCCCGCCCGGGGCGCGATCGGCACGGCAGCGGGAGGCAGCGGGAGGGCCGCGGCCGGGCGGGGGAGGCCCCGCGCCACCTCCCTCACCTCGGCACGGAGGGGCGGCGGAGAGGGGCGGGACGCGGGGGCCCAACGGCAGCGGCGGCTCCTGCCGGGCCGGGCCCGCGGACCCGAGACGGCGGCGAGGGGGAGGAGGAGGAGGAGGAGGAGGAGGAGCGCGGCCCGGCGGCGAGCGGCGGCCGTTACCGTGCGGGCGGGCGGTCGGGGCAGGGCAGCGCAGGGCGCAGCGCGGTGCCGGTCGGTGGGTGCCGGTCGCCCGGCGGCGTTCCGGGTGCTGGGCCGACTCCCCGCGACAATAAACATCCCCCAGCGCCGCGGGCATAGACGCGGCGCGGCTAGAGTGGCCGCCGGAAGTCACGGCGGCGGGAGGAGGGAGGGAGGGAGGGAGGGAGGGAGGGGGCCGCGCTTGCAGCGCTTCCGCTGTCGTCTGCCGCCCCCGGAGGCCGGGTACAGCCCGGGACCGGCCCGCTGTGCGCGGCTCCTCACGGAATCACACTGCGGGGCACGGCGGAAGGGACCATGGGGGATCATCTGCACCAACCCCTTGCGCTAGCAGGGTCATCCTGGAGCACGTGGCACAGGATTGTGCCCAAACGGTTCGTCAATATCTCCAGCCAGGGAGACTGCAAACCTCTCTGGGCAATCTGTCCCAGTGTATGTTCATAAGCGAAGTAAAAAGTTCTCCCTTATGTTCAGCTGGAACTTCCTGTGCGTCAGTTTCTGCCATTGTCTCCTGTCCTAAGGCTTGTGTGACTGATAACAGCCTTCAGCTCGACCACGGCCAAGGCAGCGCCTTTGCCAGCGAACCCGCCGAGAGCTGGTGCAGTTTGCAGCTCAGACTTTGTGAACACTCCTGGCACACCCAAGGCGTTTCGGTGGGGCACTGGCCTTCACACCTCATTAGCTTGCTACAGCCCCCTTGGCCTCTGCCTTGGCCGCTCCACACGCTCTGAACCGAGCGGTCAGCGTTGGGCTGACAAGCCCGCAGGCATTAGCGAGGGCTCACAGCAACAACACGCTGCCAGTATTGCTGCTCCATACATACATGTTGCACTGCAGCAGGGCTCTGGTCGCTGCCTCTTGTCTCAAAAAAGTGCTTTTTTTTTTTTTTTTTTTTTTTTTTTTTTTTTTTTTTTTTTTTTTTTTTATTTAAAGTGGCATTATTTGGTATTGAAAGGATAGTCCACAGCAATAGACTGTGGGAGCTTGGTGTGTGAGCAGATTACTTGCCCCAAGTGAAACAAAGATTTCCAGCTGGTGACTGAGAGGTCTCAAATGTGCCCAGGTCCCCGGAGTTTTGTGTGGCCCTCAGAACTTTTCTGGTGGTTCTAATGTTAAAACGACTAAAGTAAGTCTACTGCTTTTTCACTTTCTCAGTATGCCGATTGTTTCATCTTTGCAAAGTGAGCACATGGTGCATGCTTAGGAGAGACAGAAGAGGATATGTGGACACAGTGGGGGTGCCTGGGGTGGCATTGGTTCTCTCTGCCRAGGACAGTCCTCCAAATCTGGCCCTGTCCCATCTGTCCTGTCTGTAGGGAGTAGAGTCTGTGATGATGAGTCTGTTTCAGCTACACTTATATGTTCTCTTAGAAAAGCTCTTATGCTTCACATGGGAGCCCAGGAACAAATGAGTGTCTTGCAATGTGGCCCATTAAGGACTCACCACCCAGACTGATGAATGAAATAAAGATGACAAGTTGACTTTAGGTCTTTATGTGAAAATTTTATATATGTATATTTRTATGGGTGTACTGCAGAGAATTCASTGTATTGACAGTTTTCTGAAACTGAGGTTCTGTAATTGTGTRCTTTCCTTGTGTGACATGGTAGCAGAATAGCTTTAGTTAGAATAGAAGGAACAGTATGAAATTTAAATTTTGAATTTTTCAGACTTGGCATGTTTTCCTCTGCTAGATTCAGTTTAATCCTTGAAATGCATGACTAGGTTCGCTYGTCAAGAATAAGTATTTCAAGTTCTCGCTTCACATCAGCTGCGAGTACGCGGTTTCGCTCTTCCCTCCACAGGCTGGCTGCACACCAGCGTGTGGCAGCGCTGCCACCCTGTGGCTTCTTACAGACACGGATCCACCGCCTTCGGGTGAACATAGGCAAGCGAGGGAAGGTTTTGGAAGCAGGGATTCTGAATTTACCGTAGTTCAGTAACTCTGCCCGGGATCTCCAGCATTTTTACAGAGTGCCTTAAGGCTGGTTTTGTTCGTTATGGGCTTCAGGCTCTGAGTTATTACAATTACAGAGCCAMAGTGGGGTAGAGTGATGTGATGTCTTCACTCCAACAGTTCTTTCAGGTTCTATAGGCTGTATCACAACAGATGCTGATTTTTTTTTCCTGAATAGGCTGATCACATAGGCAAGTTATTAAGAAAATCTTTGTAAATCCTGAGTTTGCTTGAATTCTGACTCAGCTTATGTTTTCATAGCATAACCTTAAAGGTCTACAGAAATTMAAAACAAAATGTCTCCTAGCAAGGACAGATTCACTGTCTGTCTCCATGTGCTTGCTCTTTTCAGAGTATAACTTTTTCTAGCACATATTCCTCARAGTTGTGTAGWCATCGCTGGATGCTAAGAAAATTAKTTTTGCTGATGAAGAGATGAACCCATTTCAAAGTTTTGACTGCTTTGTCAGCCTGAACTTTTCCTGTTTAGACTAGAACATGTTCTGAAGATTGCATCTTTAGATATATATTTGGAAAATGTGCAAATGTAAGCAAGTAGCTATGATCACATTATCATGGAATGCAGATGAGGTGATTGGGCACCTACCTAATTTGACTTTTATCAGTTGTGCTGCAATTTTTTTTCTATACCTATGTAGTTTACAAAACTGGTTGTCCTGTCCTTGCCTTCTCCCTTTCTTGGTCTCCATTCCTCCATGCAACTCAGACATGGCTTCATGGCTGCCTCTACTAGTATGACTGAGATGCCAAGGATCTGTATCCTCATCAGTTTCTAACTTACCAGATGCTGTATGACATCAGACAGGGAAAAGCACAGAGGCCATTTCAGACACTGCTGCTTCCTTACTATTTTTCCTGTGATTTCATTTTCCTATGCCTTTATTTCTCAATCCCTTGTTTGGGAAGTAGAGGCGATGGAGGTGTGGGGAGGGTGTTTCCTGTGCTTGGACATTCTGCATCATGGAATACTGGGCTGCTTGGGACTATCAGTAATAGTGCAGTAAACTTTAGGATACTGCACATGCATTTTGTTCACTAATTACAGCAGTGAGACTGAATGAAAATGTGATTTCATTATGTTATTCAGCTGCATCTGTAGATTTCTGTTAAAGGAAATCACTCATCCAACTGAAATAAATGCTTGGTTTTCTGGATTTTTCTATTTTTACAGGTTTAACTTTCAATCAGATAAGATCCTGTGCAAGGTAGACTATGGGGAAGTGTGGGAGGGAGAGAAGAAAGCTGGATGGCCCCTGAGGCAGCCCACAGTGAGGGGCAGATGGAGAATTTTATGCAGCTTTGTCTTAAGTACTGTGGTGGCTGTGCAGAAGAGGTATTCATGTTTGAAGAAGAAGAACCTAGGGGCAGCCAGTGTCGTGGATGGAAATTACCTTGTGTGAAATTGTCATCAGCTGCAAACAGGATACTGCAGGTTAATTATGAGACATCTCCCAGGCTGGCAGCCATCAGCARCAGGCCAGTCAGGGAGGGAATCCTTCGCTGCAGGGCTTAGTTTATCAGGTGAAACAGTAAACTCAGCTGTGCCTTCTCACACCTCTCTGATGATGTGCAGTATGATAACTCATGCCAGCACTGTTAAACTGCTACCTCCCTGCTGTAAGTGCCACTTGTACCGGCTCCAAAATATTCAAACATTCTGTATAATTTATAATAATAATAAGTATTATTTTATGTATTTGTTTATAGAAAGGATTAATATAGTTACTATATGGTATGTAAATATTTATGTCAAATTTTTATATGGTGTATATATATTGCATAGTGTGTATATCTATATATTGCATAATATATGTTGCTAGGTATATTATTTAAAATAAAATAAGCATATTAAGAAAATGATGGTGAAGTGGCCCACGATAAAATGAAACTGTCAGAGTGAGGCTTTTCTTTAGTMAATTTTACAATAATTTAATACATATTTGTAGTTTCAGCCTCTGTGACTGAATGGTGTTTACAGATTATGCATATTGACTTCTGTAGGCAGTAAAAGACAAGTATGAAAAGCAGAAAAGGTGAAAGTACAATCAGAAGACTGAGTGTGAGGGAAATGAGGAAGAAAAATTTGTGGGAAGATAGTAAYACTCTTTCTTCAGCAGCTTCCCTGCAGTGCTGTGTGTATGTGTAGCCAAAGTGGGGGTGCTGGCCTCACCTCACCCTGTCCAGCTGCTTCCTACCCCAGCAGAAAGATGTTAATCATGGACAGACAGCACCTACTGGCTGTCTGAATCCTTTCCGTGGACTTAAGTAGGGGAGTATCTCAATTCAAGGGGATGAGGTTAACTTGATGCTAATTAGCAGTGGTGAGAAAGATACTCTGAGTTCATATTTCAAATTTTGGTGCCAGGGAACTTGCAACTCAGGTAGAAAAGGTACTGCAGAGCTTAATAGAGTTAGGTAACAAAGGAAGAGATTTTCAGTGTCATAATTTAGGGTGTTTAGGGTTGTTTAAACCTGATGTTTGTTCTTGAACTTGGCCTCTTGCTTCTAGTGATCTTTAGTCTTTATATCTATTGGTTATGAGATACAAATAGCAAAGAGGGCCCCCACTTTAAATTTTTGGCCCATAAAAGAAGAAATCAGGTTGATCTAGAAAATAAGTGAAAAGAGTGAAGTGACTCAGAAGACCGATGCCTTTGAGACAAAGGCATCAAGTATCTCAGTGCCGTAGCTTCTATGGCTGCAGTGACACTAATAAATAAAACAAGGCTGAGGCTTATCTTTCTTTGTGCTTGGGTTTTAGCAGGATCCTTGCTATGCCTTTGGCCTGTCTGACTTTTCCCCAGAAAGTATCCAAGCATGGTTTTGGAGAAACAAATGCCAGGGACTGTTCCTAACCTTTGGTGAGTGGAATAAAATGCAGGCATGTGTGCATGTGACCCCAGCCACAGCACTGAGTGTTGGAGCCAGAGCATGGTCCAGAGCCAGGCTTATCTATTCCAGTAAATGTAGATGTAGATGATGTAGATATCCAGCCTGAGGGGATCCTTCCCTAAACCTGACTGATTCCTGTCTTTGTTCTGAGTTCAAAGAGCAAAGATCGCTGGTGATTTCGGTGTGTCTAGGAATACAGCCCACAGGTTTGTGCACCAGAAGAGCTGGTGCCCTAAGCCTATTCCATGCTTACATGGGAACCTTCAGCCAGATATGTGTCATCTCT